TGTGCCGCTGCCGCCATGACAGACACGGAGGTCGTCGACGCTGACAAGAGGGACGGAGTTCGTCATGCCTTGTCTTTGTCTCCAACAGGGTCAACTTTGAACGAATCGTTGTCAGGTATTCCTTTACCTCGCTGGATTATTGATACAGGGGCATCAAATCACATGACAGGGTATATTAATTTATTGAGTAATATTCAGCAAACAAACCCTTGTACCATTGGTTTGCCAGATGGAAGCCGGGTTATATCAGTGAAATCAGGAATAGTCTGTTTGACGGACAATTTGATTTTGATGAATGTTTTATTTGTTCCTGTTTTAAGTTGCAATTTGATATCTGTTTCCCAACTGACGAAGGACTCAAAATGTGAAGCATGTTTTACAGACAAATCCTGTGTATTACAGGACCTAAAGACAACGATTGGTGTGGGTGAATATAGAGAAGGGCTTTACTACTTCAAACAAGATGGAAAAGAAAAAGCGTTTAATGCAGTTAAGGAGCATAGTTTTGATTTATGGCATAAACGTCTTGGACACCCCTCATCTCGTGTTTTGTCTTTTGTCCCTTTAGCAGGCTCTATTAAGAACAGTTGTTTAGCTAATAATTTTTGTGAGATTCGTGTACGCGCTAAACAATCACGTGCTAGCTTTCCTATTAGCATTCATAATTCTAGTGGCATTTTTGACATGGTACATTGTGATTTATGGGGGTCGTATAAAACACCAAGTCTGAATGGGTCTACATTTTTTTTGACAATCGTCGATGATCATTCTCGTGGAGTTTGGGTATATTTGTTGCAGTCAAAACGCGATGTGGTCCCTATTTTCCAACAATTTTGTGCTATGGTGACCCGTCAATTTGGAAAATATGTCAAGTGTGTTCAGAGTGATAATGGGACAGAGTTTGAAGGGTTGAAAGAATACTTCCGTACGCACGGCATCATATATGAAACATCTTGTGTTTCCACGCCTCAACAAAATGGAAGGGTTGAACGAAAACATCGTCACATCCTCAATGTGGCGCGGGCACTCCGATTTCAGGCTTTTTTACCTATAAAGTTCTGGGGCGAGTGTGTTCAAACTGCGGCATATCTCATCAATCGGACTCCTTCTTCTTTGCTAGAGGGGGTTGCTCCGTTTGATAAAATTTATGGACGGGCTCCACCTTTATCTCACATTCGTGTTTTTGGTTGTAGATGTTTTGTGCATAATCAGAAGCGACATGGAGACAAATTTGCTGAACGGAGTATTCCTAGAATATTTCTTGGCTATCCTCCTAGCCAGAAAGGGTGGCGTGTTTATTGTCCAGACACAGGGAAAATTATTGTTTCACGAGATGTTATTTTCTCGGAGAATGTGTTCCCCTTTTCGCAGGAAACAGAAGCAAACTCGGAGTCGCCACCTCCTAGCCAGGACAACCTCATCCCCAAAGAGGAGGAGGAGTGCGTGGATAGTGTTCGGCCTGTCCCCGGTGCCAGGACACCCGCCGAACCAGCCACCCAGACCAACGACCTGCCCGTGGGCAGTACTACTACCGGCAGAGATGAGGTGGCAGTCTCAGAGGTTCCAGTCCCTGTCCTAGTTGATTCGAGCCTTGATCAAGTTGCTGACCCCGATGCACAGGGTCGAGGACGGCGAACGCGTACTCCAAGTGTTCGCCTTGCAGATTATGTAACATACACAGTCATTGGAGCGCCTGGCACGTTGTGCAAGTATCCCATCACTACCTATATTGGGTATGACAAGTTTTCCTTGACTCATAAATGTTATCTTGCTTCTCTTAATACCGAAGTAGAGCCCAGAAATTTTCGTCAAGCAATTCAGTGTGAACCATGGAGGAAGGCTATGCGTGCGGAAATTGATGCTTTGGAGAAGAATGACACATGGACACTTGTACCTGCTCCCAGACACAAGAAGCCACTTGGGAGTAAGTGGGTCTACAAAATAAAAAAAAAAAGAAAATCTGATGGGAGCATTGAGCGCTACAAGGCACGACTGGTGATATTCGGCAATCATCAGGTTGAGGGTCTTGACTACAATGAGACCTTTGCCCCGGTAGTAAAGTTAACGACTGTTCGCACTCTTTTAGCTGTGGCTGCAACGCGTTCATGGGAGCTACATCAAATGGACGTGCATAATGCGTTCCTTCATGGCGACTTAGATGAGGAAGTTTACATGAGGCTTCCACCGGGGTTCGCACCGTCACAGTCCAACGTGGTGTGCAAACTCAAGAAGTCTCTTTATGGGCTAAGACAAGCCCCACGGTGTTGGTTTGCAAAGTTGTCAGGTGCTCTGAAAAGGTATGGTTTCACACAGTCCACATCTAATTATTCGTTGTTCTCGTTGCGCAGTGATCATGGTGTGGTACATGTTTTGGTGTATGTTGATGATCTTGTTATTTCGGGAGATAACACAGTTATGATTGCCAAGTTTAAATCCTACTTGGCCTCTTGTTTTCATATGAAGGATCTTGGTACTTTAAAATATTTTCTTGGTATAGAGGTAGCTCGGAATTCTTCTGGTATTTTCTTGTGTCAAAGAAAATACGCTCTTGATATCATTTCTGAGACAGGTCTACTAGGTGCTCGACCACTGGGTACTCCTATAGAACCCAATCATCGTCTTGCTTTATCTGAAGCCCCGCTTCTCGATGATCCCGAACCATACCGTCGCCTAGTGGGGCGTCTAGTTTATTTGTCAATCACCCGGCCAGAGTTAGCCTATGTTGTCCATACTCTGGCTCAATTCATGAAGGATCCCCGTGATGATCATTGGAAAGCAGCGCTTGGAGTAGTGCGCTATCTAAAAGGAAGTCCCGGTCAAGGTATTTTTCTATCCGCTAAAAATACTCTGCAATTAACTGGCTGGTGCGATTCAGATTGGGCAGCTTGCCCTTTGACTCGACGATCGTTGACCGGATGGTTCGTTCAGCTAGGCGACTCTCCCATCTCTTGGAAAACAAAGAAACAAACCACAGTTGCACGCTCCTCAGCCGAAGCTGAATACCGAGCTTTGGCCGCAGTGACATGTGAATTGAAGTGGTTAAAAGGTCTTCTTCGTTCTCTTGGGATACACCATACGACTCCTATGCAGATTCGTTGTGACAGTACCGCTGCTCTTCACATTGCAGCGAATCCAGTCTTCCATGAACGAACAAAGCACATCGAGGTTGATTGTCACTTTATTCGTGATGAGCTATTACAAGGTGTGATACAAACAGAGCATGTGTCTACGACACAACAGTTGGCTGATATTCATACAAATGCGTTGGGCAAGACACGCATGGAATCTCTTATTCCCAAGTTGGGCATCTCTCTGTTACATGCTCCAACTTGAGGGGGGGGGGGGGGGGGTGTTAAGGAAAGAAATCACAGAAATCACAAGAAATCACATATTTCTTCTAGCAAATATTTTTTTCTTGTAATCTTGGTTTCATTATTAATATTCTTATTGATTCTATTTCCTTTCTCTGTACCTTATAGTTTGTATATATAGGGGTGTACATCTTCTGTAATGAAAGACAGAGAATATTAGATAGTTCATACATTTCTTTACATAGCAGGTCACCTTTTGCAACTCGGAGGATCACGGATGGTAATTACGGAAGTTAGGGACTATAGGTGTTGAAACCACCAAACTCGAGAGACCTTGGCTTGTATTTACTCAAAAGAATAATGTTAAATACACCTCCAATTTTTCAATTTTTCTCTTCCAATCTATCTCTCATGATGTGTCATCACTTAATTTATTACTAAATTTCACTTTTAATTAGTGGTGAGTAAGCTAATTCATGAACACCTAATGAATAGAAACCACATCACAAGAATATATATATATATATATATATATATATATATATATATATATATATATATATATATATATATATATATATATATATATAGATTTTGAATCCAGTGCACACCCCCTATTTAGCCGAGTCCGTAAGCACATTCTGTGATCGTTGATGTTTATTTTTCAACGATCAAGATGATGTGATTTTTTAACACACTTGCGCTGGTTATGTATGTAGGTAGGGGTTGTTTTGTAATTCATTAATTTCTTTGATTATGACAAGTCATTATCTTCACCGGTTATTTTGCGTGTGGGTGTAGATAAAATAGGGATTTTATTTTGCTTCTCTCTCCATAGCAATCGGTTGCTAGAGCTTTTTGTCGCGCAGCCTCGTCCTTTTTCGCAGACGATTCTTCTCCCGTCGCCTCATCGCTCCGGTATACACGTCGTCGGGTAATATTCATGGCTGGTTCCAGCAGGAGGCAGTCTAAGCGGCTTAGAGGCATCTCTTCTGCTTCCAGTTCCGGTAATCTTTTCACCGATTCTTTGTTTTTTTTCAACCTTTTTTTTGTTTGTTTTGGGGGCTTTTTTTTTCTGGGGGTTTGTGGGTTAGCTACTGTTCCGGGATGATTTTGGGTTGGGATTTAGGTATTTTTATTTTTCTTGGGTTGTAGTTCTTCTATGTTTTTTTTTTTTGGGGGGGGGGGGGGGGGGGGGGGGTTTCTCTGGTGTGTTTTGGTTTTGGAATTCGTCCGTTTCCGTAGGGTTTGGGGTGGGGGCGACGAGTGTGATGTTGAGTGCTGTACGATTTCTGGGTTAGGATAATACACACATATATGCAGACTTTTGATTTTGGTAGTCTTATGTTAGTATACCTTAATAATTGGTGGTGCAGTTTATGTTCGTCCAATGTAATCCATCAGAAATGGAATGGAAGGGAAGGGAAGGGTATACTAGCCACCTTTTCTTGGTCAAAGAGTTTGACCATTTCTGGATTTTTTTTTTTTTTATGAATCCTGGTACGATCATATACTTTTCTTCTATTTTTGCTGCAGTATGTGGGGTTTATTTGACTGCTTGGTTATAGACTTGTATGTATGTGTTGAATGATGATCAAAGTTGTGCATTTATTTTATTTTATTTTTAATCTCTGAAAATCATTTTTTTATGGGGTATTCTATTGAAGAATGATGACTTGATTCTTGACAAAGCTGCCTCCTAATGTAAAGTAGCCTACATATACCCAAAAGTAAAAAGTTTTATGAGAATTTTATTATATGCATACCATTGTTTCTCTGAAATTATAGGAAAACTGAAATCTTGATTTTTAGATGCACTGGATAGATATGTAATTTTAATTTTATTTCTTGGCTCCCAAGATGTGTTAGGGGAAAATTTATCATTACATAAATCCTGTTGTGCTCTTCAGCTAATATCATTCTGATTTTAATTGGTATGGTCTTTGTGAGCTATCTCAGTAATTGTTCAACACATCAAATGCGTGATCTTCATCTTCTGCGAGAGCCTAAAGGTTTATTGGAAGATCATATATGGTTGTGGAGGATTCAAAGATTTGGGGGAGTGGAAATGCTGTGAAGGAACCTAAAGGGAATCATCCGAAATGCTCAAACATTAGCAATGATGATTTCGCGTTTATCATGAATACGACCTTTTGCTCAACAAAATGAGGTAGTTGATGCGAGTGAGAATACAGAAGTCAACGTAACAGAGCGTACAAATCTTGATAGAATTAGATATGGTATGGTTGAAGCTGGATGCCAAGACACAACTGAGAGTTCAAGTTCTTTTGAGGAATCTATTTCCGGAGTTGATGAATCTAATCTTTGTGGTGACGTTACGTCACCAGTAGCATTTGGTGAAGTCGGTGATATATTAAGCATGAGGTATTGTTTTTCCCTGGCAGCTTCATTGTTTATATTTTCTTGTTTGACCACTAACTGGGGCTTAACGTTTCTCTATCCTTGAGCCCTAGGATTGTGTTATATAATTCTATGTATTGAAGCAGTGATGTTTCTTGGGGTGGGTTCGGGAGTGAGAGTCAAACCTGAGATCTTTTGAGTACGAAACTATATGCAAGGGTACTTAGCTTTCTCTCTTTGCACTTATTCATCATTTGTTTTTTTATTTTTTTGTGTTTGGATTTGTGAATTCATTGGTGTGTTGTTTGTGTGTGCGTCTTTGGGTTTGGGTCTGTGCATAGAAATTTCATAACAGTTTATATTGTTCTGCGTTTTAATTATTTGTGTTGTGCTGTATTTTGTTCCTTGTGTTAATGGTGGTTGTTACCAGGGGACATTGATGTTGAGTCGGTAGTGGGTGAAGATGTGGTAGCACCCTTGCCACCACCCCCCGTTGATGTGGAATTACACGCTCGTCTCGACCAACAGGGGTCGGATTCCGATGACTCAGATGATGGCGTTGATGCAGTTGACGATACACTATTCCCCCCCCCCCCCCCCCCCCCCCCCTCTTAAGATTCGTGTGTCCCCTAAGCATCTCGTCAATCCAATTAAGCGATTTAACGCTTGCATGATGTGCGTGGTGTGGTTTTTGTGTTTTGTTATGTGCGTATAAGGCAACCAGCGTGTGCATATTACTATTTATGGAGAAATGCATTTTTTAGTCTGTGCGTAGTGTTGATCAGTTTGCCCGTGGTATGTGCATATGGCACAGTTGACATTTTATCATGTACCTAATCACATGGTTTGTACTAATGTCTAGTGGTAGCTAGTGTGGACATTGGTACTATTATTAGTTGATCATGAATTGCCTAATCTCAATCATCTTCGTCTTGATAGGTTTTGATAATATAAAAAACAAATGTATGTGCGTACGGGGGAACCAGTCTGTGCAAATTGCTGTGTTGGTTAACAGTGTGTATTTGAATTTAATTGTAATTTAATTTCTGAATTATTTTCGAAATAAACGTGCAATAGGCATTTTAACCTCTAACTAATCACACGCTGCATCATGTTTACGCACATACCATAACCAATCACCCCAAAACACCAATGACATTTACTTCGCTCACCCAAAAAACAAATACAACACTAAAAGCATCGGCATCATGCGCACAATTCGGTTTACTGATATGCACCTACATGTGTTCGTCTTATCATCCAACATCACAATCTACAATTTACGCTACCACTAACTCTTCAAACATTCTGTGTCCTAACGCACTCTAACAAATAGGTTACTCACGCACAGACGTCCCATTCTAATGCTTCTTAAATGTACACTTTTCTTGAGAAGTGTTTACAGTTATCCCTCAGTTTTGTTTGCTTCATACGCACACAAACACAACGTATTCATGCAATTACAAAACCACACCCAAATCGTTCATGTAAATATGCCCATTTAATAACATTATACATGAACACTCTCAATCATCAAGCCTGCCATTTTTTTTGGCCGACCTTCCAATTCACAACATTGCATTTCACGCTACTCACACCCGTCATTTCGTTCAGCCAAACGCACATGCTTCCATTACTAAAATGCACACACAAACACCCATATGCACACGCCAGTCAATTAATATGCACAAACTACTTTCATAATATGCATCATAGTCCAAAAAACCAAACGCCCTTACTCCTGCATAGTCTACCCCATACCATTCATTCCGGCCGAATCATGCTTACGCACGTCCCATAACCAAACACCCCAAAACACTAATGACATTTACTTCCCTCACCCCAAAAAACAAATACACCACTATAAAAAAAAAAAAAAAAAAAAAAAAAAAAAACGCCTCATGCGCACACGCTGTTGACAAATATGCACCTACCTATGTTCGTCTTATAATCCAACATCAAAATCTAGAATTTACGCTACCACTACCTCTTTAAACACTTTGTGTCCTACCGCACTCTAACAAATAGGTTACTCACGCACACTCGTCCCATTCTACGTTGTTTGTATTACGATGCATTCTAAACAAACACGACAAAAAATGAATCCTGAAAAATTCACAAACCGGAAAAAAGTAATGCACACGCCTGTTGACAAATATGCACCTACCTATGTTCGTCTTATCATCCAACATCACAATCTATAATTTATGCTACCACTACCTCTTTAAACATTCGGTGTCCTACCGCACTCTAAAAAATGCACAGACCGGAAACAAGTAATGCATGTACCGGAGTTGCTAGAAGTCATTCCCTATTCTTGATCTGCGCTACTGCCTCCCGATTCAGGTATACACTCCCAGTGGTGCGTTTTGTTTTGGTGGCCTTCTTCACGCAAGTTTAAGGGTCAACACAGGTGGTCAAATAATTGTTAACATCCGTTTCCATTCATATTCTCCTAAAAATAATCCAAAAGATTCCAATTCAAATCTATCCATAATTAAACAAATAACTACAATTACTATTTAACCCTTTTGATTTTAATATATCCTTATTTAATTGAATATTCTCTTCTAATCTCCACCATTCATGAAGAATGAATCAATGACTAATAGGAGATCTCATGATTTCATCTATAATAGGGGGTGCACCGGATTCGAAGCCTATATATATATATATATATATATATATATATATATATATATATATATATATATATATATATATATATATAGGTAAAAATTAAGGAGCAGTAAGAAGCATTTTTCATTTAAAAATATTAAAATTCACCCGATAACGACTATTCACGTTTACGTGAAATTTAAAATTGAATTAGGATATTCCATATGGTTTAATTGGGTGATCCATCCCATATTCCCATTAACGTCTAGTCCTTCCCTACCTGTTTCTGTGGTAGACAAGTGAGATTAAAATGTTGAGTAACCTGAAGAACGTGCGAGGCAATACAAGAGAGGTGAAGAAGAAGACCAAATATGGAACTTACAAATAAATTGCTTCCAAATATAAACCTACCAAATGGGAAAGAAAGCTAAGAGGACAGCCATTTTTGTGATTGAACCAAAGAAACAAATTAAAAGAAAATCAATAATAGTACAAATTGCATAGACAAGATGATAAAGCAAAGGAATTGGTAGGACCACTAACCACGCCAAAGCCAAAGCCAAAGCCCGTGACTCTCATTTGGATCTTGTGACACTCTTTTTTGCATTCTATTCTCTCTCACGCAAAACCAAGCGATTTCAACAGTAACATTCATGTGGGGTTCTGCTTCTCTGTTTATGCCCACAAACAAATTCTTCCACGCAACTACCTATGTATATATCACACCATTTTGCTAATTATTCTTAGCTTCCTCCCAACCAAACACCCCCTTAATTGCTCACAACACAACACGAACATTCACACCTTTAATATCCATGCATTCTCAATAATTTTTTTAGCCTAATCATTGCGATTGACACCTCCTTGCGTATAGGTGAGGGGTTCAAATTCTACTTCATTCATAAGAATAATATTATTTAGGAAAATTTACATTTTTAATCATTCAGTTATGCTCGCGGTGTAAGCTTGGTTCCTGAGTTATATGCATGACCATGTTTAACACTCCTAAGTTATGTGGGAAGTATCAATTTTAGTCCCTCTGGATTATTTCTACATGCCGCCAACAGGGACAGATCCAGAAAATCATCTTAGTGTGGGCGAAGTTTAAATGACGTTAGAAATGTCAATAATGACAAAATATCAAACAGCCATAATAAGGTTAAAATACAAAATACATTATAAATTATAATAGAATGTTTTTGATAGATTACATGATAGTTGGGGTCGGAACCAAAAATATACTTAAGTGGGTGAAAATGTAAAAAAGTATTTATGACAAAATATGAAACATAATCAATTAGATAAAATAATTTGAATAACACTAAATTCATAAATACTTTTTAATCTTAATTTCTTTTAGTTAGATCAACTTTAAGATTTTCTAAATTAATTTGAATACAATGAAGTATAATATAAACTTGTATACTACATTAATTAAATGATTCATAAAAAATAGACTAAAAGGCATTTGATTTTTTTTTTTTGAATACTACTGACTCTATTATAATGTAGTATCTGTTCATAACTACTTTCTCAGCCTATTGAAGCTCGACCCCACAACCTCCCTTATAAATGAACAACTTGCTGTCATTGGACTACAAGATCCTTGGCAGGCACTTAATTTGTTAATTAAATAATTCATAAAAAGTAGACAAAAGGGCATTTAATTTGTTAATTAACAATGATTAATTAAAAAGGAGTAAATACCCAAAATGGTCCCTCGACTATAGTTAAATTCACAAATTGATCCTCGACTTTCAATTGCAACCAATTAAGTTCTTAACTTTGTAATTTTAACACAATTTGGTCCTCTGTCTATTTGACCGTTTGTTGACTGTGATTTTTGAGGATATATATGTACTTTCATGATCCATAGTCAGTTTTTTAAGGTTCCGATTGCATTTCCAGACCGTACTGTCACATTCGAATCCACCGCCAAAAGCAATCTACCAAATCCGGTCGTCTTTCTTCATCCTCCCTTTGGATTCAATGTAGTTGAGTTCGTACCTGCAGAGCGAAGAAGACGACGTGTTTCCGAACCGGTGCAACGTCATCCTGGAGGCCTCCACGTGCTCCAACGAGAGCTGAAGGTTCTTCTGGAGATCGTCGATCACGGTCAACAAACGGTCAAATAGATGGAGGACCAAATCGTGTCAAAATTGCAAAGTTAATGACTTAATTGGTTGAAATTGAAAGTCAATGACCAATTTGTGAATTTAGCTATAGTCGAGGGATCATTTTGGGTATTTACTCTTAAAAAAGTGATGCTAATGAGATTTGAACTTGTAACATGTTTGGAGTTCAAAAAACTAAGCTACTCAAATTATTAATAATTTAAACTTGTAACGTCATCCTGGAGCCCTCCACGTGCTCCGACGAGAGCTGAAGGTTCTTCTGGAGATCGTCGATCACGGTCAACAAACGGTCAAATAGATGGAGGACCAAATCGTGTCAAAATTACAAAGTTAAGGACTTAATTGGTTGAAATTGAAAGTCAATGACCAATTTGTGAATTTAGCTATAGTCGAGGGACCATTTTGGGTATTTACTCTTAAAAAAGTGATGCTAATGAGATTTGAACTTGTAACATGTTTGGAGTTCAAAAAACTAAGCTACTCAAATTATTAATAATTTAAACATAAATATATGTTTTATATAAAATTTAATGTTTATATATATATATATATATATATATATATATATATATATATATATATAAAGGGGTGGGATGGTGGGGCAGCTGCCCGGCAAATTATATCGTGCACCGCGGTGCATAATCGATTATGCACCGCGCGTCAGACAATAAAGTGTGTCTAAACCGACACTGTCAACAGGGCCGGTTTTTAGTTTTGTGTGGCCCCGTTCTTAAAATAAACGAGGCC